ATGAATTTTCGAGAATTTGAAACACTTCTCAAATCACCACTCTAACAACTAATATTTCAATAATAGTATATTTGTTGGGTAAGTATGGTTTTAACATCCTTGTGAAATTGGCTCAATTGTACAGAAAGTTGGGAACAAAGAATTTAAGGAGAACAGTGTCTTCATTCAAGTCTAATCTGCATGTATATGCTGTTGTAAAAGCAATAAATCATAATTTATTGCTAATTCACACCATTATCATTTATTGGTTTTAGACAAATGCTACACACACACACATATATATATATATATATATATATATACTTTAAATTTACCTACAAAGTGATTAATTTACATCTTAGATTGTCTAAATTATAATTGGTAATGCATGTCCTTTAATGCAATCAAATGTCTCCATGTAGTTAACATCTTTGATTGTAGTTCCAATTTTTTAAATTAGTTAAATATGAAGGGTTTAATTAGACGTAAAGAATAAATGATAAAAAATAAAATAAAACAAAATAAATCTCAAAATTGAACGAAGTTTCATTGTGTTGGATGTTTTTTTTTTTTTTTTATCTTAATAAATTATAAAAACAATCTTAATGAAGGAATCATATAATGTATAACACTAGTTTCTTCCAAGTGATGAAGCCCACCTTGATCATTCTATCTCTTAAACAAAACAACTTAGTAGAATAAACCAATGGGACACACCCAAGGAGACAAAAACCATCTCTAATTGGCTGCATATCTCATTGTTTCCATCCAAAATGAAGCAATAACTCAACTTTTGATCAATCACAGATGATAAAAACTATGTGCTTTTGTTACAGATTGTTGAGAGTAGTATTGCAAGATTACTAATGGCAAGCTCTCAATTCTAATTTTCAATAAATATTTTTCTTCACTGATGGCATGGGTTTCCACTAGTGTTATACAGAAAACCACCACAATGAACATGGTGAACAGAACTGGCACCCCAGATGGACGGCATTCGTTGGACGTTCATCCAAACTACAATGCAATGCTGGACCAAAGCAGCAGTGGAATTTGCCCAAGGCTGAGTCAGCAACAACCATGCAAAGCCATTGCATGCTCTCATCCCTCCTCATTCACTGAGGGTGCATGCCATTGCATGGGCATCCCCCCTCCCCCCCACCCCTGCTGAAGATGACTGTTCCAACTCCATAATGGGCTTTGGGTCCACACTACTACACTACACTAAACATAGAGAGAGAGCCAACCAGCCAGCCAGCCAGCCAGCCAGCCAGCCTCATGCAGAACCAATCACCTCACCCTGGGGAATAAATAATAATCAAAGCTAAGAAGGAGGAATAATCCCCTTGTGAATGAATATTCATTCCTTTGCAAGGGGAAACAAACTGGGAAATATATTAGATTTGGCTGTCCCTCCATGAATGTGGTATACTTACTTTATTGCTCTAAGGTCATTTTCACAATCTCTAAGGGAATGCATGCAACTGGAACCTGGAAGTTACATTGCAGCAGCAGTTGTAGTGTCAATTTTGTTCATGATTGTGAGCTGCTGAGCATGTGAGGGTGGGGGTTGATTTATTAATAATCTACGACATGGACTACTTCGTTCTTCCTCTGTTACCCCACTGGATTGGGTGGATAAAAGATCCCCATCACACACAATGAAAAAAGCACACTGTGATTTCACAGCTCTTGGGAAAATGATATGAATGTGAATGTCAACCTCTGCATGCGTCCACAAAAAGGAAAAAGGAAAGAGATAATATAAAATGAATAAATAAAAATTGATTTCAACATCTCACTGCCCATAATTCGTCCACGTCACCATCCATGTCAGCAAGTCCTTTCTTGGGGTCCAGCTGGCTGCCTACTCATAAAACCCTAAAAGCCCCGCTGCTCTCCCACGGGAGGCGATTACGTGTTCCCCCATCGTATAGTATACGTTCATACGCGTAATAGACGCGTAGTAGACTTGCACTTGAGAGATACGATATTGGGGAAGGACCTGGAAGGACGGCCCCATAAATACAAACCCCATCACGGAGCTCTCATCAAGAGAAAGCCTCGTGGGGGGCATAAAATTCAGGGAAACTTGAAGCGCAACCGCGTTCTTCGATTAGCTCAGGCTTTTCGATAAGCCTCCGTTGGTTCTCCTGATCTGCTCACACAGCTCCCCATTTCCGTCGCCAGCAAAAGATCAGCCGAGAGAAAGTAACCGAAAAGGCGATCTTCGGGAGGGATTTTCGGCACGAATTGGAGACGAGAACTCGCTCCCAGACGAACAAAACGAGGAGGCGTAATCACATTAAGCGTAGGCGGAGCTGATTCGGAAGACTGGGTGGGGTGGGTGCTATTTCCAGCGCGGGGGGGTCATTGGACCCGTGATTTTGAAAGGAAAAGCTAATGCGAAAAAGAAAAGATGCACGCTATAGTCCAAAAGTAACTTTCTTCGAGTAGCCAATCAGTTGCGAGGGCTCCGCAATCCGACACAATTCAACCCAGAGTTGCGTCCACGTTTCACCAATCGGGGGGGAGGGGTGTGGCACCAGGGCCGGGCCGGGCAGAGGGGAATAAAAGAAAGGGAAAAAAGGATTAAAGCGAGCCCTCGTTCAATTGGGCTCGTCTGTTTTATTAATAATTTTGGAAGCTAATGACGACACGTGATTTATCTGGGCTGACCGAGCATTGGTTTTTTAGGGAGCCTTTTTAGCTGGAAAAGGAGGGCGGTGGGAGGGGGGTTATCGTTGTTGGGTTGTCGTGCCTTTCGCTCTCTATCCAATCAGCGCTGCCCGTTTCCTTACCCTTGTTGCTCTGCCTCTCTCTCTGTCTCATTCTTGGTTATTTTCATCAGATTCTTTGTTCCCATTGTTTTTTCCTCTAAAATATATATATATATATATATATGTAAACCCACTAATGCACAAACATACTTTCGTTGGAATATGTTACGCTTGAAGAACGTTCATCCATAACCATACCTGCTGCTCTTGTGGGGAATACAATGCACCATATGGATTTTAAGCATATACAATTCCAGTGTACCTTTAAGCATATGGATTTGATATGGAATAAGAGGTTGTGCAAAGACTTATTTTGGGGAATGGTCAGTTCAGACAGAGAGGGGATTGGCAAGATTTTTAATTTGTACTTTTTTACTTTTTGATGTTTTATTTTACACTAAACAAGGTCTGTACCTGGTGCACAATTTTAAGAAGTTAAAAACAAATTTCATGGGCATCTGGGGTCCTGTTTTTGGCAGAGATTTCCTCCTGCTTTGCTGCCTGATTGTAATATATAATATGGAATAATATGATCTACCTGACATTCCTGTTCTTTCAAGAACCAACCCAGCAAAGCACAAGCTTGGGCCTGAAAGTGGGGGAAAAAAAGTAACCCTGGAGCACATGGTATAAAAAACACACAGACTGAATTGCCTTGAGAGGGAGGTTTGTCTGGAATGGCCCAACTGAAGCTTCTTCTCTTGCCTGCCCTAATTTTCACCCTGTGGCTCCCATCATGGTGGGGGTGGTGTCAGTTGTGCTGCTGGATAAACCTTGTTTTAACTTCAAGCTACTTTTTCAGACCTGTACTATGTGGCAACTTTAATGAGCTTGGGGCTAAAGGTAGTAGTAGCAAGGTCATGGTGATGGAATTAGTGGATGCAGTGGGGTTGCTCATGCCCAAGTAATCAATTTCCTTGCAGTACTGTTGCCCTATTTTCCCCTATTTTTTTAAATTGTTTTTTGTGACAGATGATGTGGATACAAAAGATAAAACCCAAACCTCCCACAGGTTGGCTGCCATGACTACTTTTTCAGAGGACAAAACTGCCTGAGCTTAGAGATAAAGAGAAAGAGAATGTGAGATCATAAAGGAATGATACTGTAGACCTGTATTTTGGATGCATATCATTCCCCTTTGGACTGGCATTTTCAAAAAAAATAATGTATTTTTCCTATTCATTATGTCACCAAAGGAGCAATAATGCCATATACTACTTGGATGTCCACTCCCATGACTCCACACGATCACCTCCACTTCAAACCGACATTGGCACATACATACTGAGTCCATGTTCTGGGCCCCTTTACACGCATCCAGTCTCATGTGTGGAACTGTCCTGGGCACCCAGAGTGTGACGAAACCCAGCAAGCAAGCAAGCCAGCCAGCCAGCCAGCCATACAAACTGGGAACCAAGTTAGACCTTGTGGCCCAAGTGGAAACACACACCTTTTCCAAAGCAAAGCTTGACTGGCTTCATCTCTGCTTGAATGGTATTTATATTATAGCCATGCCTCAAGATTTGAGGCACCTTAATGATGATGAGTTCCTCCTCCCCCTCTTATACTCAAAGTCCACAGAAGAACTTCTGTGTCTTCTACTCTCACATCCAAGTCCAACTAAGCCTTAACCCACCCCACAAGGCACAACTCCTTTTCCAAGCCCTAACACAGTGGTCACCCATTCTCTGTGTTCCCAGACAAGGAACAGTGTGTTGTGTCACGTTCCCAAGTGAAAAGACCACTCACTACTGGTAGTGAGAAAGGCAGAAGAAGAAGAAGGAAGGCAGCAGGGCTGAGGGAGCCCATTCAACGTGTGAGGAGGCGCCAATGGGGTCATGTCAAAGACATCAGACACCTCGAACTGTGGGTTTCATGTCCTCCTGACTCTGGGACGAGACAGCAGCCGGCCGGCCGTCACCGCCCATCCGTCCGCCAGGGGCACGATGTAGCCGTCCATCGGTCGCCGAAGTCGTGGTTTCGTCCGTCCGTTCGTCCCCTTTCGTGCGCAAGTGCACGCACAGGATGGGCGCGAGCCACCGCGTCGTCGTCATCGCAGTGCAGCAGCAGCAACCGCCGGGATGAGGAAGCAAAAGCGGGAAGAGGGAGGGAAAGAGGCGCTTGCTACTTGCTGCTGCAAGGTGCCGGCGGCACGGCAGGGCTCGGGCGATGATTCCGTGCCTGCAACCGATTTCCATGGTGGCGCTTTTGCGATGTGTCAGGCTGGTCGGTGAGGGGGCGCTGAAGACAGATAGAGAGCGAGAGAGGAAAAAAGCAGCCGCAGAAATCTCGATGACCACACCACCTCCACCACGACGACGCTCTTCCTCCTCCTTCTTCTCCTTCTTCTCCTTCTCCTTCTCAACCACACCATCCCATCCAGCCCTGCTAGCAAGCTAGCTCCCAGCGCTTTCTCCTCATTCCCTTGCCTTATTCCGACTCCTCCGTTCCGTCTTTACGTCCGTTGTTACCGAGCTCGCGGGGGGAGTTGAGATATTGCGTGGCTACCATTGTTTGGAGCACATGCGGCAGAGACAAAGTGCGCGGGGATATTTTTTAGCGGGAGATTAAAGGTCGGGGGGTAAGATTATCGGTGTCAGGGCGATACCGGTAGCATAGGTGGTTGAGTGAATGCGGGATCTTCTTGACGTCACGGTCATATTTGATCCGAAACTGACACAATTTTCGTAAGTATGCGTCGTTGGTTTGAGAGGAGAATCGTACCACAGCGAGAGAGAGCTGGTGAGCGCTGAATTCTTTTCCTGCGCGCGGCGTGCTCTTCGACGTACTCACCTGTAATTAAAGAGGTGTTTGTGAGACTTTTTGGAAAGCGCGTAGGAAGTCGAAGAGGTTCTGCTTTGAAGTCCTTTAGGCATACGTCTCCCTGCAACTGTATTTGTTCCAAGGATTTTAATTTTATTTTAGCTGAGAGCGATGGGCTGGTAGACCATTTCTTTCTTTCTTTCAATTTCAGCTTTCTTTTTGACTTGGGGAAGGTTCGCAGGCTGCTGGCGGGGTGGATAAACCATTGTCTTCGGTGTCAATCATAGGTTTCCTTTTTCGATGACCTAGTTATGGCTCTTCAAGGGAATGAACTGTTGATTCTACACCAAAAATTCCTTCTGACGCTGTTTCGGTTGTGAGGGACGGACTTGGCAATCCACTACTGTCACTTAGTGGGAGCCGTTTAATGCACTTGAATTTTGGTAGCGCGACCCTCCTCTCGCTGTAGATATCTTGCGCCGTGGCTTGTGCTCAGAGGCTCTCGTACTTGGACAGACTTTTTTGCCACCAAGGTACATTCTGAAAGGTTATGTGTGAGTTCTGCGAGGCGTTGAAAGTGGCCAACATTTTCTGCTTCATCTACCGCTGTGTCGAGCTCAAGGGGGGGGCATGCATGTGTGCTACGAGGGGGCTTTGAGCAATACTACCGAGGGGTAGCATAGTGATGCTGTAGAATACATCGCGCGGTGGAAGGAGAGGAATCTGGTCCTGGCGGTTATGTCTCGGGTGGTCTGCTTCCATTATCCAGCCACTCACGGGAGCGGGAGAAAGGTAGGGCCTTATTGCTTACGCGAACCTGGAGAAAGGACAAAAGAGCATTGTAATGGAGTATCCTATGTTGGTGTGCGCGATGGAACCTGGAACTAATAGCATGGGAGTAGGGTGGGATAGGATGCCGTCCTTCATTCTATGGGTGTCTTTGCCGTCTTTCCTTTCTCTTCGGTTTATCAAGGGGAGTAGCGCATCAGTTATAACCGAGTTACGTTGCTTTTTTTTGGAGCCGGAGCCGATCTAGTTCAACTAGTTGACGAACACAGCACACTGTAGTACTCTTAAGTGAATCTGCCCGGTGTAGAGTTCGTAGGATGACAATAGTTACTGACCTGGAACCCTCGCACTTTGTATGAATGGCATGCAATTGAGCAATGTGGAGCACGGTTCTGAAGGGTAGTGAAAGCTTAAGAAATCGTGTCTCTTGTATACTTATCTTGTAATACTATGTGACTGGTGACTTGCAAGGATGTATCCGGAGTACTGTAAGTCAGTTAATATGTCCTTTTCTAGTAAAAGTTTGCATCAACCAAGCTAGTAGGGCACTAAATTTCCTGTCCAGCAAGTATGTTGAGGAGTTCTGGTAGGGCAGAGACATCTTCAGCGTCGATCTTGGTCATTAACACGAGCAAACCTCAAAAGTTAGCCTTGGAGCAAAAGTGAACTGTAAGGTTCTTACATTCATGCATTCACGCAGAGTGTCGGAGGATGCTGAGTGGTACAGTAGTGTGGCTTGAGCCATGCCAGGCTTGCGACACACTTGTCTTTCTCCGCGGGATTCTGAACTATCACCGTCGGTACCAAAACCTGTGATACTGTTAGTGGTCCATTGACATAACTCGACTTAGATTAAGTAGTGATATCACTGTTCATTAATATTACAATTGACGTGATTCGGATTGTGTTGCAGTGGAATCGAATATGCATTTTGTGGTTCTGTAGACACCTGATGAGGTCGTGCACGCAGAGGCTTTCCCGATTTGGCTGTTGTGAGTTTTGATGTCTAATGCCTAGTGATTTTGTCTCATCGCAGGGCAGTCCGTCAAATTTTTAAGTGATACTGGTAGCTGGGCGGGATCAGTATTCTAGATGAATGCCGAAGAGAATCTTTCTCGTGGGTGAAGTGCCGTCGGTTGAATAGAGGCTGGAAGCGGCACCCGAGCTTAGTATCTTGTGCTTGACTTCCACATTCAACATGGAAATGGGGTACATCGAAGGTTTGGATGGCGATGATGGTGGCGACATGACTTACCTTTTGCACCTGGCAGAAGACCTCGATGGTGCAGAAGCTGGGTCTGACAGTGATCTTCGGTACTACGAATATGACATGGATCAATTGCAAGCGGCAGAAGATATTGATGCCGTTGACAATATCTTGAATGAAGACGATGAGATCGATGCCATTGACGCCATCGATGTGGTCGACAATATCTTAAGTGATGATGATACCAGGTAGGAAGACATTCTTTCTTACTTTAGTTTGACTCCTTTATACTATTCCCTGATTCGGAAGAGGCACCAATACTTTTTCAAGTTCGTTTTTGTGGCGTGTAGCGGAGCTGTGCATACAGCGTAGGTCATGTCATTGAGCGTTGGTGCCGTCTTCGGTTGCTCAAACTTCATGCCTCGTCTCGATCTCCTCATTTCACTGATCTACTCGGCTCCGCAATGCAATTATGCACCAATTGATCTGTCCTCGTAAACATCCAATCCTCTTTTGGCGGATTCGACTGTATGTTGCAGGGTGAATGACTAGTGGTTCATCACGTAATGGATTGCGCACGTGTCATTATGAATGCTGTTGGAGCTGAAGTTAACGCCTTCAACAGAGGATTTTCAGGGTTTGCAATAACATTCACATTACACGTTAACTCAGAATCTGAGCCGATGCCTCGTATTCGGATCCAGTAGATCTACAGTGCATACGATTGACCATTATACTCCTCTGGTTGCTACGTCGCTAGTAATTAAAATTAGGGAACTCTCCACATGGATGTAAACCCTTCATAGCACAACACACGACAATGCAATCGGTAGTTTGTACGAACGTTAATTGTGGTTGCTGTTGTATCATGACCCTTCGCCCTTGATCCATGGATGCCTCGAAACCTGGACTGTGTCTCGATCTCTTACGCTGGAGTTCTTTGACCGAATGGCAGTTTTAACTGAGTAATGGAAGTCGTCTTTAAAGTAAATGTCCAACCACGACTATGCATTATGAACTTCGTTCATGTATCTTGTCATATCTTTGACTCAGGCATTACTCGACTGTTTGGTTCATTCTGTTTTCTATGATCTGTTTTTATGATCTGTCTTCATATCCATCTACACTTCAGCCTTCGGTCGTGCTTTTGAACAGCATGGATGGAAGAGGTGATGGAGGTGCTGGTTCCCTGGGCGGTTTCACTTTCGACACTAACCTTGCGTCAATGCACACCTACTTGGGAGGTATGCGGATGCTCCTGTTGTGAGTCCTAGATGGTTGCGAATATTATTCTTCTCTAAAGTTCGAGTTGTAACTGGACAAGTAGGCTTTGATTTTCCGTTTGTTATAGTTCCTTAAGTTTAGATGCAGTGTAGAAGCATTAGTTATCGTGCGTTGTCGATATTGAGGTAATGCCGACGGTGTGAATTTTTGAACACGTTCCTTCTATGTATTCCACATCATCAATTTCGAAGTCTATTACTTACCATGTACTCGCTTGGTTGGTGCAGAAGTTGATGACGTGGCCAGTAGCCGCTCTTTCGCTGATGGGGGTGCATTCTTAGTGTTGCCCATGTTTTACTTAGAAGGTAACTGACTGAAATTTTCCTGTGAATGTTACCCGATCGGCGCTTGTTATGATAATTCATGGATCACGAAGTTCAGTAAAAGTGGCGTGCTAATTTCGGAGTCTTTCAGGTATCGTGCTATTTCCCGAAGATACACTTCCACTTCGAGTCTTGCAGCCAAGGTTTAAAGCTGCAGTTGATCGAGCGATGAAAAGTACCGATGCGCCCAACACACTTGGTGTGATTCATGTCCGCGCTAGGGATGGACAAGTCACCGTGGCTTCGGTTGGCACAACTGCTGAGGTTAGATGTCAACTTTAACGTCTGCTAGAACACGAAAATTCAATTTTCAGTTTAAGACGGAATTATTTTAAGATAAAGTTTTTGGCCTGATGCTTTCTACCTTTGCTAGAGTTCTCTGTAGCATCGGATCATGGATTTGTAGTTTGTGACGTTCTTAAGTGAGTTTGACGTACAGTATCCGCGTAGTCAGAAGCTGAATGTTTTGCGATGTCTCTCTCAGATCCGGCAGCTTCGAAACCTCAATGATGGCTCGGTGAATGTTGTTACTAAAGGCAGGCAGCGCTTTCGCATTTGTAAAGCCTGGACAGAAGCGGACGGAGCGGTATGTGGGGTTCTTCTTGGAACTTCTAACTTGGTATCAACAATCTACAGGGTTGAAGAAGGAGCCAAAATTGAACACTAGGGAATCGCGTTCGTTAGCTAAATGTTCAGATATGTAGTGTTTTAAGTCCATGAAGGTTCTGAGTAGGATCTTTGCATGTTTTTTGTTTTGTTTTGTTTTGTTTTGTTTTTTTTTTTTTTATTGTATTTTTGTGTGTGTGTTTTTTTTTGTTTTTTTTTTTATTATTTTTTATTTTAAAATTTTAAAATTTTAAAATTTTTTCATTGGTCTCCTCAAGCAGTTCAGCTACGTGATTTGAAAATTCCGTATTGTTGAAACTTGGTTAGTTACAGTTGTTTGCTCAGGTTCAGATCATTGAAGAAGAGACGCCTCTGCACATACCAAGAGATGCATTTTCGAGCCTAGCTACAGTGCCTACCTTCCAGAGTGGCAAAGTTCCAAGGGCAGCTGCCACCTCTCCTCTCCCTTATGAATTGAGTGATGATGAAGCAGCTTTACAAGCTGGGAGTGACTTGGATGCTTTTGACGATTCTGAGACTGATTCCGGGCCTGAAGACGAAAGGTAATCAGAGGCTTGCAATCCACGTTTATCTTCGATTAACTCGTATTATTCAATCAATATAGCGGAGAAGTCTAGGGATTAGTATATGCTAGGACTTGGTTTTCTTGCTTGTCTTTTTGATGAATTTGCCTTTTGCAGACTAGCTGAGAACGAGGACCTTTTGAGGGTACTGGTGAGGGATGTCGGAGATGATGATAGTAGCGAAGAAGAAGAAAGACCTCGTCACGACTGGCGGACAAGGAGAGTTCGAAGACGAGGGGAGGAGAATGGGGGTCTTGAAGTAGAGATTTACAGAGGCGCTGAGTCAGTAGTCATGGGAGATGTTCTGCCTGTTGACAGGATGGATGCTCTTTTATCCAACGCTGATCAGACCATGCACGGTGGCGAGTCCTCTGGTGGGCAGGTGGCAGGCGTGAAAAGGCCTCGGGAGGGTGGGTGGGGCGCTGCTTGTAAAGCCTGGGCAACAGATGCGGGGAAATGGAGACACAGGGCTCAGTGCACACCCTGGCCTCACTGGGTATACCGGCAATTTGACGCTTACGACCTAGCTAGGCGTGCAGCTGGTAAGCAATTGTGTACATTGTATTGGGTTGAGAAAATGTGAAGCACAATTAATTTGGTTACAGAAGTCTGTAAGACTACCATTGAAACAATGTTAATAATACATTTCGTACTTTGAAGTGTTGTCCCATTTCTTTGCATTGCCTAGTGAATCTTAAGTTATCCACTTTTGTACCAGATATGCTGAGGCAGATGGCTGAGCTTCCCCGAATGGAGACCATGGTACACACCCCCAGTCAGCTATCATATTACATTGCAAGTAATATGCCTCTTCAAGATTCTACCCGACAAGAACTGCTCGAAGTTGATGGAACTGTTTATCGTCTGCGACGAGAGATCGAATTGTTGGAGTCTATGGATCAGTTGCGTTGTAAATGCTGTATGGTATGTTTACTTATTTCATAACATATCTCATTATATTAGGGAGCTTGGTAATATAGTAACATTTCTTATTCTCTGTCATTTTATCCAGAATGTATTCAGCATCTAGATTTCGTATGACAAATACGCTTTAATGTTAAGATCTAAAGTTTTTGATGAACCGATCTCGCTCTAATGTTTCCAGGCCCCGATCGCAAGGCGAAGCGACATGCTGGTGATGTCAGCAGATGGTCCAATCAGTGCTTATGTGAATGCTCATGGCTTTGTGCACGAGACTCTTACTCTTGCAAGGGCTCGAGGGCTTATGCTCAATGGGCAACCTAATACTGCAAACAGCTGGTTTCCTGGGTGAGAACTTATATCTTGTAATTATACAATGTGTTATGATTCTCTTCAATCCAGGTCTTCATGGAATGTTGTACGCTGCCTAACCAGTTGCTGCTTGTTACTATGTGTTCATCTTCTTGCATTTGATGGACTAAGATCGGTTGATTCGCTCCGCAGATACGCATGGGTTCTGGCAGAGTGTGCTGAATGTACAGAGCATATGGGATGGCGCTTCACTGCTGTCGACAAGGAAAGTAGACCCAAGGCATTCTGGGGCATTCGAAGGTCGCAACTGGCTGAAAACAGTTCATAATTAAAAAGTCAACAAACGGAACGATTATTCAGACTGAAGATGTATCAAGGTTTTCTGGTTCACAAGTTTGTGAGGATTCCATTGGACAAGGGGGGAATCTGGCCAACCGTGCACTTGGAGAATGCCAGTTGTGGCTATCACTTGTTAATTATGGTGTACATATGGTGATGTATCAAAGTTCGATCCTCCTGAGGTTAGTGCCACGAGGTAGGTAGAATCTGGTCTGCATAAACAATTTTTCTTCCCGCATGGAATTGCTCTTGTACTGAACCAGTGAACCTGTTACAGTACCTCCATGGAATCTGGGATGTGCTGCATTTGAGCTCCCTGAGTGCCACGGCGTGTTCTTCGGGACCTTTAGAAACTGTAAACCGTGACACATAATTTTTTGTCAGGAACAGAGCACCTCGGTGTTATCAAGTCCTGATGTATACTTAGTAATCGCTCTGAATCCTTCAACTCATTCATTGAGATGATCAGTATTGAATCTGCAGTGGTCATCCTTGTTTGCCTGTAATTGCCGTCACGTTCGCTGAGAAGACTGAATGGTGGCTTTTGAAGATATATAGGGCCACGGCCTCTTGTTGGAGTTAGTGCACTTTCTTGCTGTATTACTGAAAACAGTTTGGTATTCAACTGGTTGTCCCTTCCAGATATCATGAAAGATACTATTTCTTGTGAAATATATTTCTCTTTCTAATTTTAATTTCCATATTTCGAATACTGGCTGCCTGATGAATTTGTCACCAATTCAACCAGTTCAGTGTCTAGCTATCCATCACTCAAACTTCCGTAGTGCCGCTAGACAACACCTGATTCTAAATCCAAGATTTGAAAATACAAGATGCGATTACCTTTTAGAACTGGAGAATGAGGAACCAAAGGCAAGCACAAAGTCAAATAGGGACTTCAGCAACGCTCCCCAATTCAATTTAGAATATCATAGAGGAGCGGCCTGTAAACAACATGATTTGTTAAGATGTGAACTATCCCTGGAAGTTGCAAATAACTGACAAATTATCAGAAAGAAATTACGAAGCGTTCAGATCTTTAGCAAGAACATGGTTTGGCCCTGCTCGAGGCCAACGGGTATGTACAAAACAAACAATTTGTACATAACAAAAAATTTGTACATGGAAATCCATGGATTAATATTATTATTACTACTTTTATTATTTTTGTTTTTGTCCAAACTCAAGTTTTATGTTGGAAAGATAATCTGAAAGTTTTTTAATTTTGTATTATGAATTTATAATGTATCAATAGTAATAGATACTAATTACATGACAAGCATATAAATGGTGGCTAGATATATGTAATTATATGTGTTGTTATCCATACTTAGTGGCATAAAAAGGTTTGAGTTGCAAAATGTAAGATGAGGATATATGAGTTATGGTAAATTGGATTAGCTAGAGAATTGTTTAATAATTGGATCAAACAATTTCATAAATTGATTATTCTAAATATGATACTATGGTGATTCTAAAATAACAAAAGTATGTGTTGTTATCAATTAACAACTATATCCATTAATAGTACTTATATAAACCTAAAAGTTCAGATTTACAAAATTGTTTTATTATTATTATTATTCTTGGAGATGTACCCAATCTCTACTGAAAATATATATATATATATATATATATATATATATATCACTGTTGTAGAAGGACAGAGATGCATAAAGATGTTATGATTTTGACAAAGAGAAGGTTAAAGAGAGGTATAAAGAGGATAGACAATACATCAAAATTAGAATGATTGAGTAGACACAAAAATTTATGTAAGCTAATTAAAAGATTAAAAAAAGTTTTTGAATGCAAGGAAGTAAAATTGAGATTTGGATAAAAACACTAGTAGGTGAAATTTGTATTTGTACGTTTATAAAATCTCAAATTTTGATTATTAGTAATGTTAATTACCTAATTTATATCAAAATTAAGAGTATATATATATGTATTTTTCATTATATATTCAAATTACCAAAATATTTACCAATAGTTTAAAAATGAGTTTTCTATCAAAAACATATCTTTTTAAGAGTTTCAAATTACATCAAATTTTATTTATTTATTTATTTTTACAAAAAAATTCAAAGAGTTTTTATAAAATATTCATCTTGTAAGCTCAAAAATAATATTTGTATTCATTTTAATATTTTAGTGATCTCATCAACATATTAGTTAAGGTTGCATTTATAATATTATAATTTTTAATTTTTCTAAAACAATTATTTTTCTATAAGATATAATAAAATTTATTTTTTACCATCTTCTTCTATCAACCATTAAATTTGTTTATAGATGTTTTTATATTAAGAAAAGAGAATGAAAGGCCAAATTATTTAAATCCTTTTTTATTTATTTTCAAAATTTTAAGTTAATTGGCTTTGTATTCAAGAAAAACAACTTAAAAGGAATAAGAAGAAAATAGGATAATGGATATATTAACTCTTCTATACTAGAAATATTCTTCCTTCAAAATTACAACAGATCTACTTTAAAGATAATCTATAAAACTTTGATAAGTTGTGTCTAAATTTCTATAATAATAATAATCAAAATAAGGAGATTTAAACTCTTAATGTATTTTTTATAATTAATTGAATGAAATATATATTGATATATTTAGTTTTATAATAGAATAATGTTTTTTTTTTTTTTTTATTTTATTTTTTTAAAATTTTATGGTGTTTTTGTATGCTTTTGTTCCATATAATCTCAAAACATTTTTAGGCTAAAAATCATGAGTCTAACTATTCAATCTAATTAAAAATACATAAAATAAACATCTCTTAAATTAAAAAGAATTATATTTATAATCAAATTTTATTGCTAAAATTATCAATAAATTGAATACATTCTTAAATTTTTTAAATAATTAATTCTATATTTTATATCTATTTTAAAACTATTATTATTATTATTATTATTATTATTATTATTATATTTGTATTTTTTTGGCATATTTGAGAAATTTAAATTAAACCTATTGGAAAGCAAAATAAAAACAAAATTATCTAAGTTCAAATACCTTTTTGGCAAGTATTATTAATGTTGAGATTTTTTAAGAAGATTACTACAAAATCTTATTGGATATGTCATCAAATTTGAGATTTTTCTCTAATAGTATGATAAAGGTTTAAAATTAAAGATCAACTATAGGTCTAAAAAATAGTTTAAGTAGATCTCTTCTTTCTTCTTTAGAAGTTGATTTTTTGGCTATAATTAATACTTTGAAAAATTTTGCAATTTCTTCACTTTCATTTCTTATGATTATGATCTATAATGGTATTAATAATAATAAAAATTAAATATATATAATTTTTTTCTTTATTGAATAAAAATTTGATAAGTTAAAACTTTAAATATATTAGAGATAGTAATTCATCTACCTACTTTGATGCCTTGAGTAAGGTCTTAGGATTAAAAACTAATATCAAATCAAAATCCATTTTTTATTTGTTATCAAAGACATGAATTTCAAAAAAAAAGAAAATCTCAATACAATCTTATGTTTCATAAAAAGACTAAAATATCACTCAAAAATGGTAATATATTGACTTAAAGTGGCTATTGCCAAAGACAAGAAGACTAGAAAGTCTTGAAACAAAACTAAGGACTCAAAAGGCATTGAGAAGGATAAAAAAGACTTCATTCTTGCTTCCATGTATACCATGTAACTAGGAGCTATGTGACAATGTTCTATAAGACCTCCAATACGTGTTGACTTTGTAAATCACATGTCTTAAATTATAAGGCAAGCTTCTTATATGCTCGCTACATCATTAGCTTATATCATAAGTTAAGAACATGTGTAATACATAGTTAGCTTGTTGGCCAATTTTATAATCTATCATCAATTATAAACATGTATAATGTCAAATACACGTCTATGAAGCTTTAAAGAAGCTTTGCTACAATTTAATATCAAATCTACTTATATTTACTCTCTATTTAATATTTCTTATCTAGGTAAATATATATGTCCATGACATTACCTCTTCCTTCTAGAAATAAGTTCCACAAAGAGTAGTTATCATCTTTCATTAATCTTCTTATTTTTCATCTTGCTTTTGATTTTTTTTGTCAATGAAAAACATCAATCTTTGTTGCTCCATTTGCAAGAGTTTTGGAAGGCTCCTATATGTGTTCATTATTTTCATATTTGTGCCAATAAATAAGATATATTAATCAATTTTAGTTATGCTTTGAATCTATGACTTCTTCTACCTCAAATTTTTTATTATTATTTACTTCTAAAAAAAGAAACAATATTTGTCTTCTTCTTGAGATATTCACTATTTTATGTGGCTTAAGAAGATATATGTGGAATACAAGATGGATCTTTATAGATTCATAAATCTATTTTTATATAAATCTTTACTTGATTTAATTGATCAAAAATTTTTAAAATCAAAAGTAGAGAATATCTATTTTTAATGATGATCTTGTTAAATTCTTGATATTCCACATACACCAATAGAGATCTGTCATTTTTTTTTTATAAATAAGGCAAGAGCCTCGATTGGAGAATTAGAATGGCATATGAAATTTTTAGCCAAATTTTCATCAATATATTTTTTAAGTGTAGCCAAGTCGTTTTGTGATAGACTATAGATTAATTCGAATAGTGATTGAGCTCCTTCTTATAGATCAATGGAATCATAGGAACAATTTTGAAAAAATATATATATATATATATATATATATATATATATATATATATATATAATTAAAAATTTCTTCATAATCTTAATATTAATTTGAAATGATATTTGAAGTCTTTTTTCTATTAAGAATATGCATGGCATATATTACAAAAGTTGAATCTTTTTTGTAATATGCATGAAAGCTTTTATATCTATCAATAATAGTTTGGATATATTGATCTTATGGATTTTTACTTGCCTATTAAAATCTTAGATTAAACTACAAGAAAAATTAAGATTACAAGAAATCTAATCTATTTGAAGGTTATATTTTTTTAATCTTCATAATCCTAAAATAATTTGATTATTAGGAAATCTAATTATATTAAATATTACTAAACAACTAGTTGCTACACCTAAAGAAATAGTTTCATATATAACATCTCTTAAAGACAACAAATGACCATCTATTATTTTTAGATGAGTAGATTTAATTTTCTTTATTAAAGATATATTTTTTGTTTTTTTGAGAAAGTATTTGTTTTTAAAATAGGCTAAAGCTCCTAAATCTAATAAAGCTAAGACTTTGTTATGTTTTGGTTCTAAATAAACTTCTATTATAAAGTAAGGTGATGGATTTGAGAAAAAAATAGGACCTTTATTAAATATTATGCAAGCTTCTAATCACATAATCTCTATTGTAGTTCAAAAAACTTGTTTTTTGATATAATATCCTCTTTGGAAAACATGCTTTTTATTTTAAAATTGCATTGCTTCTTTAGACACTATTAAATAGTGTACTTGGATTCTTAATAATATAGATACAAACCTTGCTGATGATGATGACTATTTTCTTGCTCAGTAAGAAGTTTAAAACATATTGTATCAATTTGCATAGGCTTTGGCATAGATATGTAAATTTCCAAAAACTTAGAAGGTGTCACCATGACTTGACTTATATCTCTCCAGCCAAATCTTTCTTCTTAGCATCTTTCAAAGAATTAATTATTGCATACAATGGCTTGGGCA